TCTAAGATTTGAGCTTTGCTTGGGAAATCTAGAAACTTGACTTGGAATTATTGGTTCCTAGGTAAACCTTGATTTAATGTCAGGCACATCATGAATTTGTGAACATACATGCATAAACATGTCTTTGGTGTTGTGGGTTTAAAACCTTAATTTGATTTTTGTTATGGGTATTTCATTAAACCTATGATTTAGGTTTTTTGGAGTATGTTATAATCTTGTACATAATGTATATGACTTATTCACTTAGAAATGATTTTGTTGCTTTGAAAGTGTAAATTTTGAGTTTATGCACCTATTACATGTTTCATGAAATGTCAAGGTTGTGACATGAGTTTTCAAAAGGATTTTTGAAAAATGTCTACTTGACACCGACAAGCAGAGGATTAGTAAAGGGTTAGAGCCATTAAGGAGGTTTACCAAAGCGACTACTAATTCTAGGGGGATTAGTGATGATAGTGATTTTTCGTGATAACATGTGTCATTTCACAAGTGCAAGACCTAAAAGGTTCCTCTTAAATGGTTCACATGCAATATGTATATGACTACAAGCCTAACCATCCAATTCAATTCTCCAAACCCTAACAAGCCAACTCCACCAAACCATAACCACAATGTTGAATCAATTGAATAATGCAATGTAAGTTTCAATTCATTAAACACATTGTAGGTGCAATTATAAGAGAGAGAGAGAGTGTGTGTGTGGGCAATGCAACAATAAGAAGATCCACAACACAAGCAATTTTAAGCAAAAACCTTTTCGAAAAAAATTGCTAAATAGGCACCCTAGTTAGATGCTTGCTTCCTTGTCAATTTCTCCTCCAGATACAACCACCAAAGTCTTAAGTAGCTTCACTTGGACGCGCTTGCCACAATGAATCATTTAGGCCTCAAGCAATCTTCGAAGGATGGACACTGCCAGATTCTTGGTATGCACACAACCAATTTGGGTTTAGGTGGATCACCAAGCAAAATTTCTTTTCCTTTAATGTGTGATGTTGAATAGAAATGATTAAGATGGTTTGGCAATTGGATTTTAGGGGTGTAGGATTGTTCTTATCTCTCTAGATGTTTAAGAGACGGCTTTGGAGTGTATTAGAAAGTTACCCTAGCTTAGAGAGGCTTGGCCTATTTATAGGTCTGCAAATAGGTTTATCTTGGGGTCTAAGAAAACACAAAATTGCGAAAGATCACTTGAGCTGTCAAAGAGAGGTGACAGGGCAATTGCTACTGGAATGCGAAAAGTATTCAATCTGGTTAAAAAAAAAAAAGCAGAGACCGCTCGAATCATCGTAGGATGGCTAGAGCCATCTAAAGGTCGCTCGAGCGGCCTAGGGAGAGTTCTTTATGCCCAACTCATCAACCTTCTCCAAATTATTTGTAAATGTTCAGGGACTATTCTAGCCGAATGAGAGTGAGCAAAGGGCAATCTCTAATAGTTTTTCAACATGAAACCAAACAAAAAACTTGATCTATTAAACACTAAGGAATGTTGCTCAAATAGGATCTGATACATGACTCAAACTATGTTTTCAAAATACATTTTTTATGTTTAGAAAATCTTTTTCATGAAAAAATTATGAGTCATTCACGAATAATCCTAAATCTAATTCTATTAATCTAATGAGCCTAACTCTAAAATAAACCAAGGGTCTTACGTATCCAAGTCATTATCGTGTCCTAAGCTTTGAATGTTCAATGGAGGTGCTCTTGATACGGCTTTGAAGATCTTCCTTCCTGAAGCTTTCAGAACTTGATTTTGAAGCATCATAACCATGGATTTAGGTTGAGATTTACAACAAAACTTCACAAAGTTATCCAATTACAACAAACAATTTCCTAACAAAAAATATAAATCTTGATTAATAACTTGTGTATTTTGAATGACGATGCGTTGGGGGATTTTTTTTGTAAATTTATAGTTATTACCTTATATATCATAGAAAGTTTTCATTATTTATTCATATAATTTATGAAATATTGGCATTTAAAATTTTGTAAACGCTTGAAAAACAAATACTTCACTGGGTTGTGGTTGCTCACCATTTACTAATGAATGCAAAGACTAACATCCATCCGAGGGTAGGTGATGAAAGGCCTGTGAGAGCTTAGGTTAGAAAGAATCTTTTTTGAAATCCTTTTGTGTATTTATCCACTAAACTTGTGCAGAAATGTTAGTACACAAACATTGTGCTTGAAAGACTTGTTTTGAGACACAAGTGATGTACACTTGATTATCTCATAGAGAAATTATTATTTTGGGTATTATAATATAAAGTTATGATTTTGGGTATACATATGTATATGAAGAATTCGAATTTGAGAGGATTTTATGGGCATCCAATTGTCACACCGACTTTAGTTGAATTATATTGTGATGGATAGATGTTATGGATATTTAGTTACTTTAAAATATAATCGGTTTTTACATGGGTGCCCTTACTAATTTGGTTATATGCCCGAAATTATGTCGGATTTTCTAAAAAGTTTGTTTGGATTAAATCAAATGTTTGATTTCATTCAATTTTTATTATAAACCGGCAAGATATTTTTGGTTAAACATGATGTTTTTAAATCGCACTTTCGATGAAAATTAGGGCGGGACATTAATAGTTGTACATTTGAAAGGTTTCTCCTTTCTGAGCTACTATACAATTATAATTTACATAAGTAATACAAATATAATAAATATTGAAAAAATCTTGTTTAAAATTTCATTTAAGGTTCTAATTTTCTATCGAGACGCCCAAATCTACACTATTTACAAAAGTCAAGACAATACCAAAAATTGCTATTTTAGCTCCTCCTATTTAGCTTTAGAATCTAACTTAACGAAAACACCTCGTTGATATCCCGCTCCCATGGCATGACACCTGAGATTCCGTAACAAGTAGATATTTCCACTGGAACATAATTAATGCACGTTACATCATAGCAGCACAACCAAATGGAGGCGGAAACCCCTTTACTAGGTTGGGTGCTAGCACTTTATACCAATTAATATAATATTAATTAAGGGCTTTTCCCTTATTAGTCAAGTTGCTCGAGGCCGGAAAATGAGAATACAATCTCAAAGATCTTGTCAAATGGTAGAAGAATCTATAAGTTCGTTAGAAATCGATAATCGTTGTTTGGACATACTAGTCACAGCTAGTCGGGAAGATGAGAGATCAACAGCGGAGCTGCTAGCTACTAGCTAGAAATGAAAGGACAAGACCACCTTTCACAGGCCAAGATATTCGAATGGGAAATCGTGTGTAAAGTCGAGACATCAGATATGACTCAAGAACAAGTATCATGCTACTTATTAATATTCAACTAAATCCGCACATCTAACATCTAGCTTTTCAGTAGATTTTGTATGATATGAGAACGTCTGTGAGTAGCCAACATCTGTATCCGTAGCTAAGGCAATCCAAACCACGGGAGTCTTAGTACTTCGTGTCCAAGCCTAGTTTACCCTTGAAAGCCCCATTTTCCAAAGAGGAATGGGGGTAATAACCCAATTTTTCTATTATTCTCCCAGAGTAGCCTTGACGGATAGTGGTGTTGGCTGGAAAAGAGACCTAGTTAGTCAACATGTTTACTTCTGCAATTATTGGCACGGTTGAATCTTCCGACATTTCCATGCTCTGGATGTCCTATTGTTTTGTAGATTCACTTGTTGGGTCAGAGCATAGAGAGTGATCAGAGCCCAAGAAACAAGAAAATCCATCATAGAACAGTCAATTAGAAGTAGAGGACTACTGGCCTGAGAAAAGCCGGCCTTTCTCAAGAAATATGGCCCAATTTCTCTTCTTTCATTTTTCAGGGGCCTAAACACTAAAAGGTGGGGACCAAGGAAGCCGAACCAAGCTCTTTTCTTACTATTCATCCCTAGCTGAGGTAACATCCGGGCAAGCACCAATGGTTTCAACAGTTTCATCTTTCCCCTTACTTTTTTATGTGACACCAGCCCTAACTAGTCGATAGATTCACACGAGAAAGATTTGACTGCATATAAAGATCCCAAGCCAGGTGGGCTTCTAGATCACGAATACGTGATAATCTTCTAAGTTCGTGTCTGCTTTGGCATAGGGGCCGAGGAATTATAGGAGGTTAAGTTTGAATTTTTTAAAAAGATTCTTTGTTTAAAGATCGTCTAAGAAAATCAAGGAGTATCACATTGGCTTTGAAACAGTTGCATAGTATTTGGCATTTTATACAAAGGCTTTGGCCCTCCAAACAAGAGATGGCCTTCAGATTGTTGATGGGTCTGCACCCTTGCCTAAGTGGATAGTAAGGAGAATACCTTGCTTGCTTCTTCATTCATGTGTAACATTTTTTCTGCCTCGAAGGTGGCAGGATGGGTACGCTCATGTCATGTGAGAAAATATTCATTGCAACGGTTACACCCGTCCAATAATAGGATTACAAGTAAGTAATTAGATCTCACATGAGTAGTTCTTACATGACATATTACATGAGACAAGATAAGTTACGTTATTCTCCTACTAGATTGTAACAAATCGTAGTGCTTCCCTGCATAGCAGAGTTGTTTTACAAATTGTTGTCTTAGGTGCTCTCAACTCTGTAGATAATTTGAACTAGGTGTTTCATCATATCACATGCAACGAACGTCATACATTGCTATTTAGTATAGAAATGAAAATAGAATGAATCCCACATTAATGGCACCCATCTCATGACTCCAGGAATGTCAAAAACCATCTTAACCAAGGATGCCAATGGAAGAAAGAGTGGGCAGTTGTCAGACACCAATTCATTGGCACATCTAATAACAGCCCACTACTGGTTGCATCTAATTATGTAGATAAACTTCATCAGAATAATCTTGAGGGCAAATCTGCATCAGAATGGAATTCACTATTTGGTTTCAAGCACTATTTTATACTGCTTTTGGTGCAACAAATGAGAAGTTATGGATAGATTGCTGTAAGCCACCCGGTCGCCTGTTTCTCTTATAAACAGTGTATTTACTAAGCTTACAAAGATACATTGACTCAGGATGTTTGGATAGCTTTTTGTTCAAGGTTTGTGAGGATGTCAATACATTTCTTTAGTAATGACTTTGCTTGTTCATTCTTCTCTACCTCATACTGCTTAAGAAGCTCTTCTTTGAACCCTACTTCTGTCCCATCAACCATTGGAAGCAAGCCGTAAAGATTAGTCACTTCCATGAGACACTCAGATGCTGCAATGTGAACCTGAATTTTATGCACGAGTTAGAACAAAAAAAAAGTCTAATTGCTGTAAGTCGAAAGTAGCAGAATCATTATTCTTATGCATATTCAAGCCCACAAAATTGTAAAACTAAAATTGGAAAGTGGTAATCTCGTAAATGTTTTGTCAACTATGTGCACGTATTTGCATAGCTGAGGTGCTGTATATGCACGTGAAGTAAGATCATAGATTTTTTTGCCTTTCTCAAACAAAGCAAGGTAGCAAGCACACTGGATCTATGTTTTCCTTCTTACAACACAAAACCGCTTGGAGAATTGTGGTTGGCAGATTTTTAGGTGCTCTCATAGAGAACTTATCCGGCTCGCACACACTGGATTTAAATAGTCCACCAAACTACAGATTACCTCCCTGTGGTTGGACCTCGTAACACATTACCACCTTATACTTTAAAAACCTACACATAACCCCCTATAATTTTGGATCCAAATAAAAACCCCAACTCTGTTGACGGGAAAGAGAAAAAGACTGTTCTACTATCCTTTTTCTATTTTATCAACAATCATTGATTGAGTACAGTTTCTTTACTCCCACTGCTCCTTTAGATACATACTTGCTTTGAATGGAGCAGAGAGGAATGAGAGAGCAGGGAAGAGAGGACAAGAGAGATAGATCAAAGAAGAGAGGAAAAATAGGGTAGAGAAGGCCGATGGGAAGGGAGTGCAGAAGAGAGAGAAAAAGAGGTCTGTCCATTTGTTCACAGCGGCAAAAGTATGCCGATGTTGTTCCATATCGATATGTTCGTTGCCAAGATACCACCCACTCCATCACCAAATTATTTCCACTTCAATTGCTTATCTGTATTATTGGGTCAGCTTAAAATGGAGTTTTGAGTTAACAGAATTTGGTGGAGAAATGCGTGATGAACTAGATCACAAAAATTGGAGAGCGGGAGCACCATGAGTTACTCACTCGTAAAAATTAATAAAAATAGTATTTAAAAAATTCAATTTCATGCACAACTATATGACAAACTATTTAATTTTTAGATATATGTTGATTTTAAGTTCTTAAAACGGCAATTAAAAATTATAAATAACATTATAATTTGACAAGTATCATTAGGTATGGACCGATACTCCCAAATAAAAATTTGACTAATAACAAGTAGGCATATAAGTATGTAAGATCATTTATTAGTCAAATTCGCGAACTGAAAAATAAAATCCGGAAATTCAATCAAATGGGAGTACAATTTCACAGAGAATTCGATTCCAAAGCACTAATTTGAGCGTGCAAAGCTGGTGCGTGAGGTGCTTAGACAAATTATGTGACTAAGGTAATGAAACGGAGCAAAAAGCAGTAGTGGGTATGGGTCATTGGGCAGTTGAGGAAGGACGCTGTTGAAGGGTATTTTGGTCTTAAAAATGATTAATTTTGGAAAGAAATAACCCAACCTTACATTTTAGGCATGAGGTGAAATCTCCGTTAAGTCTGATGAAAAATCTAATGATTTTAATTTGGTCCAAAACTATAGGGGGTTGTGTATGTTTTCAAAGTATAAGGAGGTAGTAAGTTACAATGTCAAACCATAGGGAGGTAATCCATAATTTACCCTAAAATTAAAAATTAGGAGAAAATTGGACTATACAACCTGAATTGTTCAATAAAACAACCGCTCTTATATCCCAAATTTATGAATGGCAGTCTGCAAGCAGAAACTTCAAGATAATTGGCATGGATTGGCAATGTAAAGGGTGGTTAGGGAATAGAGAAAAAGAACAAAAAGGTAAGCACAAAATCTGCAGAGCATCAATTACCAACACCTAAAATTGGAACAAGGAATCATGGAGCACGTGATACAGACATTCTGAAGCTGTGGTGGTGGACCCACCAATGAGACCCATTGAGGACATAGTTCAAGCCACTCGTCGTAATCATCTTTACGGGATGATCTAATTTCTTTGGTTAGCAGATCTTTCTAGTATGAATTTAAGCATATATATTGGGCAATATTTCCCACCAATGTCAAATTTAGAGATAAAGTCATGTGCGTGCACTAATCAACCAAACCAATAGAAAGGATATCTTACCTGTGCAATCTTTACCATAGATAGACATTCGAGCACCTTAGGTGACACAGAGGAGAACAACTGGAGGCACCCAGAACGAGAACTTAAAGAGTCAAAAATACTAGTATTTGATATGACCAGATAGTTAATAGAACTGAGTTGTGACATTACCTCCTGAACTAGAGTCATGCCAGCATGTATGGAGGTATCTTGATAGTCATGCGCATTGTTTTGAAGCCTTGAGCAAAGTTCTTTTATTGACGAAAACACCGACATTTTAACTGCCCAAATAATACAATAGTTGTATTTAAAAACAAAATGTAATTGAGTTAAACGAAAGGAAGAAATGGCATAAAAATACCTGTCCAAGGAAAACCAGGTGACAAGGAAATCAAAAACACATGCACCAGGTTCTGCTGCTGTTCAAGAATATCACTCAAACGTGCCACATGGATGCATGATGTAATGCATTCAATGATTTTATCATGTGAAGCAGAAAAATCTTCTGTGACATCTGCTTCCACAGACAAAAGGGTAGTGCTTAGAACATATAGGGGTACATCCTATAGAAGCTTTAAATCCAATATAGTTTGATCCAAGGAACAAAGAGTATAAAAATGGGTGCGCCAGTATACAGATTCCTTGCCAGTATTTAAGAGATAAAACCTCAAAGTTGACAAGAAGAAACGTAAACATGAAACATGTAACAACTATCTCCACTGGATTACATAAGAAAATCAGAAATAAATTGTTCAAAATTGAATACTCCCTAATATTGAAAAAAAAGCACTAGAGATAATGGAAAACAACAAAAAAGACTAGACTACATCTGATGAAATATACAAAAATATCAAATACAATCTTTAACACCCCCTCAACTCATGATGTGATAGTACAAAATATCGACAGTCATCAAAAACAGACACAAAATGATGTGGGACTTCGTTAATAAGGGAGCGAACTACATAAAATAGACAAATGGCAAGGAAATAGTCCACAACTAAAGATGAGGCACACTAGATGACAGTCAATCTTGATATTTTGGGTACACTTGTGAATAACAGAGTCGTATGCACTCAGGATGACACTGGTTGTCACTATATATGAATAGGAACCAAAAAGGATATTACCTGACTGATAAATAACCATCTGAACTAGACTATTCCTGATGTAGTAATAGCAATAGCACAATATTCAACCTTAGTCATAGAACAAGCAATACGATATTTTTCCACTTCTCTAGGAAACAAGAGAATCACCCAAGAAAAACTTAGAAACCAATGGTAGATTTACAGCAGGTCCCATTCAAAGTCAGCATAAAACTTAAATGCAAATGTTGAAGAAAACCACAAACCCTTACATTAAGTGCCTCAAGGAAAGTGCAAAATAACACCAACAAACAAAATCACGATACACAACAGGATCAACCAAGGGGACACCATCACAAAAAGTGTCAGGCGTGTTAAGTTTGAGATAAGACTATATAGTTGTAAAATCAAATAACTGAGCCCTCTTGTTAACATCCATTGCTTCATTTGACTGACAAAAAAATAGCCCTTAAGAGACAAAGACATTTCAATGCCCAGAAAATGTAGAAGGAGACCAAGATCCTTTATCCAAATCTGAAAAAATAAAATATATTGAAGGTGTCAAAAGTAGAGCAAGTGGATGTGCAAGGAATATGCTCAAGAAACACCAAATAACAAAGAAAAATGCACATGGGAGAACAAGTAGATGACTCGTTGAGTTCATATTTAGGAAGAACGAAACCACTCTAACCAAACACATGCAATGCAAATTAGTGAGGTTTCTACATATAACCATTCGAAATGAGAACTACACAAAAGTAATAGTTGAAGTCAAATTTTGGATTGCCTCCACATCTGGCTAGCAAGACCACGATCACGTGAAAAGAAAGTCTGAGACCAGAGGAGCTATTAGGATCAACCCTTCAATCCTTAAATTAGTTGGAGATTTAAAGGTATTCAATGCAATAAAACACCAAGAATGGTGTACCTCGTGCACCGATTACAACGATATTACATGTTTTTAAGTGATTGACTTGCACTAGAATTAGGATCTGACCTTGTATTGATCCTGATTGGATTGGGATTAGGCTTATTCTTTATCTGTTGATCTATCCTTATCTGTGTGATTGGACTTATCCCATCTATGGTTTTCGCCGTCCCACTTCTATTTGAACAAGGATTCTAGCAAAGCTACGTTGGGCTGGACCAAATGAGCTTCTTATCCCAGTGGATTTTTCCATTAGTCCTCAAGTCCAATTAGGATCACTAGAAGGTCAAATCCTAAACCTATTGCAACTTAATCAGCTATAAACACCTAGGGGCTCATTTGGTTGCCATATTAGAACTGAATGGATTAGATAAAGTAATACAATCTAAAACAATACAGATGGATAAAAGACAAGATTAAATAAGGTATTAGAATAATACATAATTTTATCCAATGTTTGGCATTACACAACATAAACGTTGGATAGTAGTTATTTAATCCAATCATATGTTTGGTTAGGGCATTATTTCATGGTATTAATATTGAATTAACAAAAATACCTTCAATCAGTGTTTGCTACATTAATGACATCTGAATTTTATCAATTGGGGATCATAATAGTAAATGTATAAAATAATACATTTAAGTTGGATTATAATACCACCTCTCTTTGTGGTAGTAAAATATCTCCATAATATAGGTCTATCATACAAAAAATATACAATAAGTATACAATTAATATAAATTTTTAAAATTAATACGGTATCAATTTGCTTACCAAACAAAGTATTAGACCCGATTAAATAAAATATAGTACAATATAATATTTAATCCTCTCATAATACGTCTACTAAACGAGCCCTATAAATACAACTCCAATCCATGCATCATGGTACATCATTCTTAGTTTTCAACAACATTGAATACCATTGAGTCTCCCACTGACTTTAAACATCAAGGGGACAATCCGAGAGTTCCTTTGGTCTCCAACCTTCTTCTTTTTAGGTGATCGTGACCTAGCTGACCAAACATGGAGGCAATCCAAAATTTGGCATCAATAGTAATAACAACATAAATCCAATTAATGAGATAAACCATATTAAGGACCGCTTCTTGCCAAGAAGAACCAAAAATAGACAAAAAAAAATAGCAATGAGGGACCAATTCCATTATATGTATGTGGTTTTGCTAAGCCCCATCACTTTGTTTAGGTGTGATTGTACGAGGGACTCCTCAATAATTCCATCGGATTTAAATGACTCTAGAAAATCTTTACGTCTATATGCCCCCAAAATAATACCACAAATTTTGAATTAACCGATGAACATTGTGTTTGAATCATGACAAAAAAGAGGAATAATAGAGAACAATGGGATTATGACCCCATAAATCAAAATGCCCAAGATAAAAAGGAGCAGAGCTATTCGCCCCTACCTAAAGACCAAGAAGGAGAGAGAACGGAAGGCTACGAGTAAGGCACCCCCTCTTGGCTTTGTTTTTTGTCTTCTAAACTTCTCTACCTAAACTCCCTGGATCAGTTAGTCATTCACATTCAGTAGTGAAGGAAAAACGTTTTAGGCACCGGTCATATTGGTCAATTGTTCTTCTCAGCGCACTAGAGTATAAAGAGAGCAACATCACCTACTAAACCGCTGTAAGCTCAGAGCTAAGCAAACTGAACGAACGGAATCAAGTCCAACCATTAACCAAGTCCGAAGTAGCACTGGTGGCTCTATTACCTCTTTTTCATTGTCTTCTTGCTCTCTAGGAGGTCGAATCATCGAATCAAAAGATGGCTTAGGGGACTATCGAAGAAATCGAATCAAAGAATCCACAAAAAAGCGGAACAAAAGAAGCCCATGGAGAAAGACACAGCCCACAATAACCTGCAATGGACTATCAAAAAAAGGACGAACTAAAAAATTGACGAATGCTATTAGAAATATTATTACTTGAATTTCTTAAACCCCCCGTAGAAATTAATAACTTCAAATGAGAATTAAAAACGTGTCCAGATTATAGACGACTAGCACTCAAAGAAAAGGAAGACAAACCAACAAAAGAAACAACCACAACAGCTTGAACATGCAGTTTTTTCAGCACATACAATCCTCCAACTCAACGGCATATCCTAATTAGCTTCTTGGAATGAAGATCATGAAACCAATGGAGAAGTCTACGTCCAAATCTCACAGTCACCCAGATAATTACAAATCTTTAATGTGCATGTCCCAAGATTTGGCTCGCACGTGAAGGGATATATTGATGTACAATTATATTTATGTTATATCGTCTCTAACAGTTCAAGCTTCCAAACGAGATGGCGAACTAACGGAGGTTAATCTTGTGGATTGCTTTTTATTCACATTGTTGAAAGATAATCATAAATCTCATGAAGGAAATACTAACAAAATAATTGTGAAACCTTGTAAGGATATTTGGAAGTTTTTAGGCTAAAAGTTGTAGTAGCCAAGCTTTATAATGCTTAGTCTAGTTAAGAAATATGGAAATTGTTAAACCATCTAGAGAGTTTCAAATATGAAATTGGTAAATCTACATGAGATATGCCCAAAAGAGATGTTATTTTACCTTCTCAAATGTAGAAATAAAAACTTGGGATATTGCAACCACCCAGAGAAATGTCTTATACCGTTCTCGCTACTATCACCAACATGCTATCGTGGTTGCAATAACCATCATATTACCACAACATACACCACTAGATAAATCATCATTGTCATTGTCCCTGCCACACCGCTCTTACCTAATTTTTATTAAACCACCATGTACCACTATATTGTTGTTCGAGCATCCAATCCAAAACCAACTAGTAGTGGGTAAAATGGTTCCTCAAGTATATAACCTTTGATTTATTTGTTCCTAATATTTCCTTTTGACTTTTTATATGTGAGTCAATTAACTAAGTCCTTACCGTGTTTCAGTACCTTTTTATCCATCTTGTTTTTTTCAAGACTCAAAATGAAGAACTTGATTGATTTGGTGCATGAGAGCAATGGTCTTTTACTACTTGGATTCCCGGGATTATGTTCCTACCTTGAGTGCTATAATCTTTCCTCTCCAATGACACTTTCGACTAGGTCACCCTTCCTTGCTGAAGTTGCGTGAAGTTGAAGTTGTGTGAAGTTATCTTTGATTTGAATTTTTCTTCAGTATAAGAATGTGAGGTTTGACAATTAGGCAAACATAACTATAGTTCTTTTTCTTCTAACTCTTCAAATCGCAAGTTTAGTCCTTTTAATGTCATTCAATCAGACATTTGGGGTCCTACAAAAGTCAAAAATATTTATAGTTTTCAGCATTTTATAATCTTTGTTGATAACTTATCTAGTATGACTTGGTTATTCCTTATAAATGATCAATCTAAATTTCCTAGGCTTTGCCACTTCTTATAATAAAATTCTGGTTCAATTTAATATATGTATCAAAGTTCTTCAATCTGAAAATGCCATTAAATATATCCAATCATTTTATGTGTTGGCTGTGCCATTATCCACCAAACTACCTATCCACATACATCCTAATAAAACTACATTGTCGAATATAGACATCATTTGTTGGATATTGCCAGCACATTGATGTTTAGCATGCATGTGCCGAAACTTTATTGGGCTAATGATGTTCTTACTAATGTTTATCTTGTTAATTGCATGTTGTCCTAGATTTTGGACAACAAATCTCATTTCTCCTGACTTTATCCTAATAAATAATCATTCAGTTTAACTTCTCCTATCATTGGTCGCGTTGTTTTTGTCTGTCTTCTTAGTTTTGGTCGTGACAAACTATCACCTTGCTCAATCAAGTGTATCTTTCTGAAAAATTCTTATACTTGCCAAATCAAGGATCAAAATTTCGTTTCGGTGCATAGTTTCAAAGAACATAAAAACGAAAACGTTTTAATAATATTTTAGAAACATTTCAAAAACAAGATGGAAATAAAAAAAAATTTAAAAATTTATTTCCACAGTATTGGTTGAAACATGCTGAAATACTTCAAAACCTATCGAAACACCTAAAAACATCTCAAAACATAGCAATTTTGAAATTCAATCAATGATTCGTTTCAATTTTCATGGAAATAGAAACGTTTCGGACGTTTTGAAATGAAATTTAGTTCCTTGCATATTGTAAAAGGTTATTGGTGTTATGATCACATCTCTTATCGTTACCATGTCAATGCAAATACTACCTTCTTTTACACATGTTCCTTCTATTTTGTGTCGAGCCAAATTTTACTACAGATTTAGAATCTCCAATTAGGGGGAGTTTTTGTTGCCCATCATTCTGGACATTATGTCTTCTCCACTATAAGTTTACCATCCCTACAAGGGTAGACAAGTTGTATATTATGCTCTAGGTCCACAGTCAACACCAACGTTTACTGGGGTTCAGAATCCTAAGTCATCTGTTACTCCATTTTCTTCTTATCCACCCATTGTGCTACCAAAAGATGCTCTGAGTTGTCCACATCCCCCCAATTTCTAATTTTATCCTTGTATCGGTTTTTTTCATCTTTTTATTATTTTGCATCATCATTATATATTGTGTTTGTTAGCTCATTCAAATAGGTTTTATCATCTCTTTAATGGAACTTGATGATGGATGAAGAATAAAAGCATTCATGAGGATCAGACATAAGACCTCAATCCATTCCCTGCCAACAAACATGTTGGTTTTTGGTGGGTGTATCCTGTGATGTAATGTATCTTCCTGATAATTTTGTTGTGTGCTTAAAGGGACGATTGGTTGCCACAGACTACACTTAGACATATAGTATGGATTATTATGAGACATTTTCCCCCGTTGCTCGCCTTAACTCTATTAGATTATTACTTTATATGGTAATGAGTTTAGTTTGGCCTTTGTATTAGTTGAATCAATGTAAAGAATTCTTTTTTACATGTTAATATACATGAGAAAGTATATACAATTTAGCCACTAAGCTATTATTTCTGGGAATAAACAATTAGTATGTCAATTGAAGAAAGTATTGTATGGTCTAAAGTAATCACCAAATGCTTGGTTTGATAGATTTAGTGCAATTGTGCTTCAATATGACTTTCAATTATCTAATTCAAATTATTTTGTGTTTACACACAAATCCGCCACATGTGTCATTGTCTTCATCATCTATGTTGATGATATTATTATCACTAGCAGTAACTCAGTTGGAATTGTCCATTTAATTCCTATTTAGAAAGAAAGTTTCACACCTAATATTGAGGTCTCTTTCGATACTTTCTTGACGTCAAAGTAGCCCGATCTAAATAAAGTATTAGTTTGTACCGGTGGAAGTATGTGTTAGATTTACTCTCTCAAATTGGAACTCTTAATGTACGCGCAGCTAGTATCTAGTTAAATTGGATACTAAAACTGTAAATGTTTTTAAGGACACGAGACGTTATCAGAGGTTAGTTGGTAAGCTGATTTATCTAATAGTTACAACGTTGTGATAGTACTTATATTGTTGGTGTTGTTAGTAAGTTTGTAGATGCTCCTTGTAAATCTCATTGGGAAGTTGTTTGTCATATTGTTCGATATTTGAAATGAGCTATTGGTAGAAGATTGTTATATCAATCGTCATCATCCCTAATTGGTACGAGATTTTTTTGATACTGACTGGCCAAGCAACTGTTTTGATAGATTGTCTATTTTCTAGTTGTACATTTATTGGTGGTAATCTTATTACTTACATCGTAGGAAACAAAATATGGTGGCACGTTTTAGTGTGGAGCCAAATAGCATGCAATGACTCATATTGTATGTGAGATGTTATAAGTTCGCTCACTACTTCGTGAGATAGGTGTTGGTCTCCGATACAGATGTCAGATGCATTATGACAACCAAACAATAAGTGTTCATGAGCATACCAAACTCATCAGAATCGATTGTCATTTTATTTGAGATCTCTTAATGCAAAAAGAAATTTTTACTCCTTATGAAAGTCTGGTGATCAACTCGATGATATTCCTACCAAACCATTAGCATAGTCCACCTATAGTAGCCTTTGTTCCAAGCTGGGTATTTTTGATCTATGTTAGAGTATTACTTTCATATTTGTTCTACTTTCCTATTATGGCGTTTTCTTATTATATTCTATTTTTCCATTATGTCACTTTCCTATATGTTCTATTTTCCTAAAATTGTAATTTTCTTCAATATCAACCAAATTTACAAAAGTGATAGGTTATAAATTATGAAGTATGGATATTTCGACAAAATCGACGTACCAGTATCAGATACGATATTCGTCGGATAATCAAAGATACATATCAGATTCGCATCATACATATCCGATAATTAATAAAATATGTAGATACTTCAAGGATACTTCTACACATGGAGCAAGGGGTACAATTTTTAATTTTAATCTATACTCTCTCCTTTCAAGTTCACATACAATACAATACATCAAAAAAATTTCATTTGATTTTGAAGACAAAAGTGTTATTAGTATTATCTATTATTACATGTCAAAAGAATATAAACAAATGAGTAAGTTACAATATAATCTCAAAAACAAATACTTATAAACATAGTTGTTAGTATCGTACGATACGCGATACGTATCGTACGATACGTTACGATACAGGCCTAAAACGATACGGATCGTAGTTATGTATCGTTTTTGCATTGTATCGTCCGATACACGATACGTTTTTACAATACGCACGATACGTGCAATTTTTTTTTTTTTAAAACGACGTCGTTTTGTGCTCTGATTTTATTTATTTTTAATCCCTATAACCACTGAAACGACGTCGTTTCAGTGGTTAGGGTTACAAAATAAAATAAAATTCCTCATTTCTCTCATATTCGGCCTTCGCTCATCGCTGGTCAGAGACTCGGAGGTCTCTGGTTTCTGTTCAACCATCGACGACGAATGATCGACTGTGGGTGGTGATCGCTATGGGTGGTCTTTGACTGTGTGGGTGGTCTTCGACTGTGGGTGGTGATTAATTGTGGGTGGTGATCGATTGTGGGTGGTCTTCGACTGTGGGTGATTGCTGGTCTTCGTCTGTGGGTGATTGCTGGCATAGGACTGTGCGTGATCGTTGATCGCTGTCTTCTTCCTTCTCCAGGTACTCCTTCTTTTTCTTCTTCTACTTCTTCTTTCCAGTCTCCATTGATCGTTGGTCCTGTGCAGTAAGAAATGATGTTAATTTATTTACAAAGCCAAATGTATATATATATTTTTTTGTATAAAATTTTTTGAATCTTGATTAATTTTAATTTTGTGAAACAATGGCATCATCTGCATCCAATTTTCATACAGAAATGACTAAAAAACTTGCTAAGGATCCCACATGGGAACATTGTGACAAAGTAGAAGGATCAAGGTTGAAATTGAAATGCATTCACTGTGCAAATGTCTATTGGGGAGGCATTTCAAGAATAAAAAATTATTTGGCAGGTAATCGCAAAGATGCAGCAACTTGTAAGCATTGCCCTGAGGAAGTAACTGAATTTTTTAAGCAATTATTGGATGATAGGCAAATAGCAAAGATATGAGTCTTGTGGATTCGAAAAGTAGTGGCAATATGGGTAGTACTACTGCTGATAAAATACAACCAACCACCATAATTACTTTGAATACCATGTTGAAGAAAAAGGGTAGGGAAGATGTATGCTTGGATATTTGTAGATGTTTTTATG